CTATAACCAAGCAAACTTCCAGGCCCATTTAATTCATTCTAAAAAAATAAGGTATAAATGTATTGAAAATATATAACATACATGGATTGCAGCTATAACATCTTGCAAAGAATCTCTTCTACGCCTTCCAAAACCTGATTTCTGCAAAATTCTTTGAATATGTCTCATACTGTTATTACATTATAATTTGATCAATCATACTATTTTATTCACCTCAGTTCTTTGATGGGACGAATAAAACTTTGAATCTCCCTAGAAGTACAATTTAGTCTCTTTAACTCCATAATCAAATCATTTACACTGTCATCCATCTTTATTCTGTATAATCATAGATATTAGAGTAAATGAAAGGGATAGGAAACTTCCGTTGCGTGGGTGGATTATTCCATTGAGATTATTAGGTTGCCTAGCAACTTAAGCTAGTTACCCCTGACCAGACTTGCTCTCTCCATCTCTGCAGCACTGATTCTCACCTGTAGCACTTGCATAGTAGTGATTGCAGTGCCATATGATACTTCAAAGAAATCAGCTGTTATACCACTATCATGCTGTAGCCAAAAATAGCAAGATTTACGCTCTTCTATTGCATTTATTAGCGATTAAAAGTTAAAAAAGTACTAGTTTGTTCTTTGGTCCCCATTATCTCAAAAGCAATATTATAAATGAAAGATTTAAAGCAAACCCCTATTAAAGAATTCTTTTCGTTAGGTCTTCCAACTTTAATAATTCCAAAAGCTTGTTTTCTCGACATTTTATGCTCAAAAACAAGTAAACTTTCCGTATTTAGTTGGGTACCATTATCTTACTGCTTGAACGAGTAATGACTAAAGAGACTTCAGATACAGAATCTAGATGAGTTATTCTGGGTCTTCCGCCCATTATCTTGTCTTTGCGAAGCATACTTTTGCTATCACAAGGGACGAATTAAGGCCTAATCAGGCTAGTCGCCCATAGTGGCGATGGAAAATAACTGCTAGAGTATACTAGTATCCGGATTCCTCCGCTTTCTAGGGTAAATAGCTAGATTTCCCGGGAACGGAAGTTTCCTATCCCTTTCATTTACTCTAATATCTATGGTATAATGACCCACCTTATACCACGCCTCATGCCGTGTGGGCGTGTATGTGCCACAGTGAGTATCCAAATGTGAACGAGAACGCGAAATGTGAATTGTAAACGTGAACGGGAATGTCGCTTTCGGCTTCCGTAGGCGAAGTCTCCCTCCCTCCCTCCGTATGTATGTATGTATATGTACGTACGTCTCCAGTCACGCCTATTCTGGTCACGCCTATTCTGGTCACACCCCATGTGTGCACAATATCTATTTAAAAATCAATGATCTAATGCGGTAGCATTCTAATGAAATATTTTCATTGATGTGGGTGTGGTTGCAATGAAATAAAAATGGCACCTACCTTAGCCAATCTTACTTGCAGCAACATAGGACTGATCTCTTGTCAAGACACTTCATCAGCAGAGAAAATTCAAGAAAACACACATAAATCTTCAAGTTTTTATTAATTATGGTTGAATGACAGAATATAAAAGCACTTCAAATGGCTCATCAGAGAAAAGAGAGTCTAAAAGTACTGTGCTTGAAAATAT